TATATATATATAGACACGTGTGGCGGCCTGATGACATAATGGTGCTTTCTTCTATCCCTGTAATGGCAGTGGTGGGCAGTCCTTATTCTCCATAACAGCCTTCATCTACTCGAAAGACTAAGGACATTTAGTGACATAAATGTACTCCAGGTTGACAACGCTGGGTTTCATATTTTTTTGGCAATTAATTTCTATTTCTAGCTGGAGTTGAGTTTTAAACGTGAGCCCTTGAAAAAAATGAGGTCCTTTCTTGCAAGAACACAGCACGTGGTTCTTCTGTACCATGAGTGCCCTAAAAATGGTGTTTGAGTTAATGTACAACTCTCCTTGCATATCCAAAAGAGAATTCTTACAAGGATGAGCTTACAGTTTGGGATGACTATGGGTTCAACTGAACCCAAATAATTTGCAGTTCAAGAAAATGGCAAACTAATGCTGGCGTTCCCATCTATAGCAATCACTGGTAATGTGGCTTAGAAGGGCCAGTCATAAGGGTTTTCTTATGTGCCAGCCCTCTCACTATAGAATTCAGGGTTCCCTTTTGTTAGTCTTTTGTTAGCCTTTTGTTAGTGTGAAGGAGACATGAAGTAGTTAGGGAAAGATCACAGACTGTTTTCAGGGAGAGTTATTTGCTGTTGTTGATTGCTAAAAATATCTATATTTGCACTGAATCACAGACACAGCCACCGTGTGTTCAACAGTCTTGGAATAGACAGGGGTAGATCAAAAAGTATGGCTGGGGTGAAACACAGTGCCACTGCAAAGTCTCATATTTCTCGTCTTTTGCAGTTGGAAGCTATACTTTACTGGCATTTAAACTGTATTTTTCTCTTTGAAAATGGCAGATTTGTTCTAGAAGGTTGTATGCCCCGTACAGATGTGCCACTTCACAAGAAGGTTCAAAACTTCCTCCAAACATTTTATTCAAAGGGCATCTAATGTCTCCCTTTAAACATGATTAAAATCACTTTTCCCCACTAAATTCTAAATTGAGCTTTTTAATTTTTTTCCTTGGTACATGTCCCCAGTGCAGTGCTTGGCTGCACATGCCCTTTGTTTGACAATTTCTCATCTATTAGTCTAGAAAATGGGCAATAATGATTTCTAAGATTTGGCTCTGATTTACTACAATTGGGTTTAAATTCAGCATCAGAATTTAGAAAAACCTTTCTGTACCCGCCCCAAACTGAACCTGAAACTGAGTACATTCAATTCATCACTAATAAGGATTGATTACAAAGTATGGGCAGAGAGAGAGAGAGAGAGAGAGATGTACAGTGCTCCTGAAACTTTAAATATGTATGTCCAGTGTGTGCTGGGGACACTTGGAATAGATATGGATTGATTGTAAAGTGTCTGCAGGGAGAGATAGTGGCTGCTATACTATACATTGCTGCTGAAAAATGTTATAACCTTGTACTGCTATACACAGTCAGTGGGTGTTGGACAGACCCAAAGTAGATAGGGAGAGCTGATATAGTGTTTGTAGGGAAATACACCTTTGTGTGTTATTTTTGGTTTTACTTTATTTTTTCCCACTCTGACTACCTTTAGGCAATCCCTTAAACCTCATCTCTTCAGGGAAGCCTATCCCACCTCAAACTAACCACTGAACCATCACATTCTCAAACAATTAATCCCCACACAGCTACATCCTCATGTATCACTTGCTCTCCCTTTAGATTGTAAGCCCTCACAGGCATGGCCCTCCTTACCGTCTTGTCTTGAATTGTATTGTAATTGCAATGTCTTCCTTACATTTTAAAGCGCTGCTCAAACTGTTGGAGCTATGAAAATCCTGTATAATAACAATAATAATACTAAAATTTTGGGGGGTAATAGAGTTTAATAAAAGTGCTTAAATACTATGAAAGGAGTCACCACCATACTTTGGTGTTTTATTTCAGTAAAATACAAAACCTCTAATATTTATATTTTTATTTAAAGCTGATTGGTGCCTCTCCTGTTCAAAATGTGGCCTTGCAGAAGTGCCTACATACTGTGCTTGTAGTCACTACAATATTTTGATTGTTTTTTTCAGGGAAATAAAATATAATAACATAGATTTTTTTTTATTAAAGGCTAGCTGTTGTCTCGCCTGATCAAAATGTGGCCTAGTGAAAGTGCTTAAATACATTTTACACTACAATATTTAGGTGGCCTTGGAAGATAAGTAAAAACACTCTAATGCTGAATTTGTATTAAAAGATGGTTGTTGTCTCTCCTGTTCAAAATGCAGCTTAGTAAAAGTACTTGTGTACTCCACATGTAGTTGAAATTAGTGGGTGGGGACCAGTGTTTGACTGTCAGCGCTCTTTTTTCCAGACATCATTGGCCTCCTTGAATAAGAAGCCATAATCTGGTTCTACCTGGACTTTAGAAAAGGCCTTTCATTGGGGGGACAAAAGGGGGTACTTCGGAACACACCAGTGTACAGAAGCATGCAGTGACGCATAAAGGGCAAGTGTAAAACCGAGACAACCTTGTGGGAGGGTGGCCAGGCTTTTCCCATTTGGTGTTCCCCTTCACCCATATCTACTAGGGATAAATCCATCCACCATCAGGATATGCGGCCGTGAGCTTCCTTGTACACTCTCTTGGGTTGTGGAGGTAGATCCACGCATCAATGTCTCCTTAATTCCGGAAGGGGAGCAAATTGCATTTTTTGGACTTTATGATAGGTTCAACAAACAGCCTGCAAACCAGAACCTGGCACATTTGCTCATTCCTAAATTTTTATAGTATTCATTTATTATTACTGGTATTTATATAGTGCCAACAATTTACACAGCCCTTTACATAGCACACATTCACATCAGTCCCTGCCCTCCAGGAGCTTACAATATAAGGTCCCTATATCACATGCATACATACAAGGGCCAATTTAGACTGGAGCCAATTAACCTTCCAGCATGTCTTTGGAGTGTGGGAGGAAACCCATGTAAGCACAGGGAGAACATGCAAACACTTGCAGATAGTGACCTGGCTGGGATTCGAACCAGGGACCCCCAGTGCTACAAAGCAGAAGTGCATACCCTATACCACTGTGCTGCCCATAGTACACAAATAATTTAATTCTTGGAGATTTCTATGTATCATTTCCCATGTTGTCATTTCTTAATTCATTATTTTGTATACCCTTTTACCACTGTGTCCAGACTGTTGCTTATCCTTGGTGATTTTTTACAGAGATGTTTATATTTTGTTGTTTACCTTGCATAGCTGTCCTATTCGTGCATGTGTTGCCTTCCCAGCATGTTCACCATCTATTGCATTTTCACGAAAGAAAAAGTAGACTTTATCATCTTCTGGGTTGTCATTTTCTGGTACTAAATATGCACCAACAAACCTGGGATCTGGAAGGAATAAGAGTATGTATTAATCTTTACATATTTTAATATACATCGACATGAAACATGCAATGAAATAACCCTATAACTCTGGGTTCCTGTGTACCCTGGTATGGTATACATTAAAAAGCCTCAGGTCAGAATTTAAACATATATTAGTTCTGTATTTTTAGGGAGGTTGGACCTTTCCTTTATTTCTACACTTTTCACCTTTTCTTTTTATGATGGCCCACTGTACCTTTATTTTCCCTTTAGATTCCAACCTGTTAAGGGTGGAGTTTGGCAATTTTTGCAATTTTCATTTTCTTTGGAAGTTGTAATTGGTATATATTTTTTGGGAAGTATGTGGAAATGAAATAAGTATATTTGCACCTCCCAACCTCAGAGGTGTGTAGATTTAGCATGTTATAATGTTCTTGTACAATGCATGGATAGCCCTGTAAAAAAGGGCTAATAACATGTGCTCAAACATCTGCTGATTAAACAGCAGAATGGGGCTTCTGAATTAAAATTGTATATGTTTAGTTTTCTGTGCAGAAGATTAAATTGTATCAAAGGTGGTATGTAGAATTGTAAATAGTGTTTTCTGGAAAGTATAATATTTTATATGTTAAATCAATGGGCAGAGAGCTACATATCTAAAGGCTCCTCCCAGCTTATGCCAGTTAGGTAAGCCTTTGGGTTGCTGTAATGACAAACAGTATGATGTTCCTTTTACCTGTTGAAAATGACTCCACTTTTGCAGAAAATGAAGCCACCTTGAAAATGTCCGCTCCTATTTCCCTTTTAAAGAACCCTTTTGCACCATGCAACAGAAGACATTTTTAATGACTATTTTTATCTTATCATTTAAAAATGCTGAAAGCTGAAATACAAAATATCAAATGAAGGATAGCCAAGTTCATTCTAATTTAACAGATTCATAATTAAAACAAAATGTATGATAAATGCAACAGTAAGCTGATTTTAGCACAAACCATTGTGTGCCAGTACAGGTGTTTAAAAGGCTTAACAAAACAACACATGCAGACACATGTATGAAAAATAACACATTTTTGAGTACCAGGTGGAATCGTGTTTTTCATAAAATAGTAATTATTTTCAGAAAAACAAACATAAATATGTAAAGATAAATAAGGAGGCCAACTTTACAAAGGGAAAAAATATAATCTAATTTTAAGACTGAAAACGTGGCATAGTTACAATGTAAACAAATCATATTTTGCTTACAGTTCAATGGCTACATTAGTTTTAGACAGAACATTTGAATCACTAACTTAATTTAGGATGGTAGTAAAGTAGTACTAGAGTTGCCAAGCATTAGTTCCAAAGGAAAGGGAAGAAACAAGAGAATCTCATTAGTGGTTGCCTGGCTTGGACTTCTCATTTGGCATAAGGTAAATGTTCAACTTACAAATCTCTGTATGGGAAGCATTTGGGTGGCATCCCCATTTGCTTGTGATGTACAATGATACCACACATTTCTTGTTCTCTTGACTTGCCAAAATAGACATTGACTGATTACCAGCTAAATCTTTCCTGGTGCCCAATTCATCTTCCAAGCACAATGCAAGCTCATTTGTAGCTACAGCTTGCTACAAAAGCAATTGAAAGCATTTATTTTTATTCATTTCCCCGGCAAAAAACAATGAATGTAATGATGGATTTTCTTTTACCAGGTTCAGACAATTTGACTTTGTCTTGACTTTTTCTATTACGCTTTTTATGACTTTGTTTGCATTGTTAAGCACTTGAGACAGGATATCTGCTATTTAAAGCATCTTGGTCATAATAAAAGCTCTGGAAATCAATCTGCTTTGTAACTCCTTCACTCATTGGTGTTTTACTATTCCCTATAAACTCATAAAAAAGACTACTTGTGCCAGAATGACCAACAATTCATATTTTCAATGAATTCCACCACCTGGCTCTCAGTCTTAAACGAAATTTGGAAGGTGTTCAAAATTATTCCACATAGAGTATGTGCTAATGTAATGAACTCCCAGGGTTAACACTTCCGATTTTCATTATTGCTAACTAATAGTGCATGATCTAGGGCATCTTTTAGCATACAGTATGTCTTCATAACTTTGGGAAAATTAACAGAATTATATTTATTCTGAAGGAGGTTTATTATATGCTCAAAATCTCTCCCAATGACAAAAAAAAATTGAATTTAAAGTTAATAATATAAATGTAATGATTAAAGACTGTAGAACTGCACACAATTCCAAACATGTGTTTAAATCTGGAAAAAAATGTAACCTATGTAATGTTAGACAATACATAAAGGATATAAAAATGTGTGCACAAAGTGGAAGTAGTATGTTTCATCTGAACATAAGGATTACTTCAATGGCTACATAATGTTGTGGACTTAACAGAGCCATATAATGCATTGCTTAAACGTTGTCCAATAATGTGAAGATCCAAAATCATTTAGTAAAATGAAATTGGTTTTGTGCTTTCAGAGACACGAGCAAAGAATGAGAACAAGAAAAATTGTACTTACAGGTAGCAGCTCGATTTACTCTCTAGAATGTTAATGTAATGTCTCTATAATGTGAATTCCTAAAACATTACTTTTCAATGAACCCAGGCAAACATGGGATGCTCTTTGAGAAATGAGTTAGAAACATCAATGTTCTTGTCAGGTCAAATATAATTACACTGTATATCTTTAAGAAGCTGCATGCAGACGTAGGATAAACATTATATCTTTTCTGAAAGCCAAGATCCTTTAGAATAAAATGGTGGCAGATGCAAATTTTGTCACACAATATTAGCGCAACTTATTATCAAACCCAAAAATCGAATGGAAAATGAATTTCAGTTACATTTAGTGCCCAAAACACAATATAATACCAATTAGTTTTGTAAAATATAAAAGATGAGGTTACAACAAGTAAATAGATATTATAATAGATAAAAATTGTGTGCGTCCGTGAAACTGCAACAAAATTCAGTACCCCAAAAAAGTCCATAGATGACGCTTTAAAAGCCCCTACAGATAATGATTTATTGGCCCTAAAATTTTCGCTTTCACTCTGGCATGTGCAGCGATACCCAACATGTGTAGCGCGGTCATCATTTTTGTACGTAGGTGCACCTGATGCACATAAAGACGCGCATGCTCACAAGAGTGGGGGACTTTAAAAATATTGAAATTATTTTATATTATTTTTTAAACTTGTTAATTTTTTGCATTTTTAGTATCAGTTTTCCACTTTAAATAAGCTATTAAAGTGCAGATTGCACTTCAATAGCTTATTGTTCGGAGCTGAGCAATGACAGCTCAGGGACTGGAAGTGATGAAATGTGTAATGCTCCCAGTCCCATAGAGCAGAGAGGAGATTGGGGAATGGATGTTTGCCGCTCTCCTCCCCAGTTTCTTGCTGGCACCCGATATGCCGGTTCCAGGTGCGCAGGAGGGGCAACGGAGCATGGGAAACACGGTGTAATCTTCTTAATTTGGAGGAATATATTTTCACTTTGTTAAATGTCACCGGCTTGGATCTGGCTGTGTGTGCAATTGCACACACGGCCAGATCCAAGCCGGTGGCATTTAACACCAAACAAAAGGAAGATTCTAGCTGAAATGATAAGCAAGAGACAGAAGGACAAAGTCTGAAAGCAAAGTGAAAATATATTCCTCTGAATTAAGAAGATTTACTCAGGAAATATCAAACCAACAACCAACATTAACTTTAAACGTCTGTTATAAATCCAACGAAAAGCGGAGGAAGTCTGTGTTGGAATTACTGATCTGTTTAAAATCCTTCTTTTCACTCGAATATAGAAATCAGAAGAAAATTCCTTTTTCTCCCCACTTTGGGATAATCCCTCCAGTCCATGTAGTTCACGAAAGTTGGCATGCATATGGGGATTTTCACGGAGGGAGAAAGACTTAAGTACTAGGTACATCGGTCATTTATCCCCCCACGGTGAAATCAAGGTTAATGCAAATGAGGATCGATCCACATATAATTTATGACTGTCTGTAATCAACACGTTTTTAATGGTAATTAGTGAGTCCAATGTGTTGTCCTAAATGTTGTTTTCAATAAAAAAACTTTTTTTGCAATCAATAGGCTTGTCCGGATCCCTTAGTTGACCGCTGCTAACCCGTTATCTTCTAACGAGTTAATCCTCTCCTTCTGTACCAGTTTGACCTGGTCACGGATCGGACCAAACAAGCAATTGTGCAGACTCAATCAGGGTGATTGCCATCAGTCGGATCACCAGGTAGGAACACAAACCCTTTCTTCAACAAGTGTGCCTGCATCCTGCCAATTAGTGTTGAGACCATATTAAAACTGCAATGTATTTATTTGAAAGGCTGTTAGCATGAATATTTGGTTCTTCAATGTCACAATACTTAAAGTGATATTAAACTCCACATGTTGTTAAGCTATTTCAAATGCTGATTGAATTATATACAATGGATGCTGTGCCTTGATTTTTAAAAAAGTTTTAGTTTCTTGCAGAAAACAGCTGGTCCAATGAGCACTGGTCCCGATTTCCTGTTTTAGGGTGGCTCCTTTCCCTTGCAGGGTCCTATGGAGCCATTCTAGTGTGTGCTAGTAAGTTGTGTGCATCAGCACAAACACACAAGCACAACCGGGCAAGCCACTCTCTTCCCTAATCCTCCTTCCTCCATCTTCCCTTCTCCAAGGTAGTAGATGGACAGCTGCTGGAGACTTTGTTCTCCTTTGCGATATTGTACTAGTCTGGAAGTTCAGGGAAGCTAAGCTGAGAAAGTTGAAGCCAACCAAATTACTCCCCAGTACCAGCTGAAAATCCTCAGTCGTCGGGCTGCAGAGTGGGATTCATGTGCTCTGTGTGAGAGCAGTGGTCTCTCTTCAGTGGTCTGGAATGCCAACCAGCGAGTTACAGCGTGAGCCCTGCAATCAGCATAGCTCACCCTCCCTGTTGATTGGAGGTATTTCGCTGCAAAGCAAGTGGCATGTTACTGCATAGAGACCACTACTCTCACACAAAGGGAA